CTCTCTCTCTCTCTCTCTCTCTCTCTCACACACACACACACACACACACACACACACACACACACACACAGTGACACACACACACACACACACACACACACACCCACACACACACGGTGCCACACAGCACACACACACACACACACACACACACACACACGGTGCCACACAGCACATACACACAGCACCACAAACAACAAAAAATTCACTTTGTGGAACCTAAGCGGCTTGCAATACACCTATAAAAATAAAATGCGTCTACTACAAAAGCACTGACACGTTTGTGGGAGAAAAAAATAAACAAAAACATTCAATACCACTTGTGCTTATTCAAGAGCCTTGTGCATGGGGTGCAAGTGGGAATACAGACTGGCGTGTGAGTTTCTACATGTAATGATTACCCATCCCAGTGCTCAGCACGTATGGCATGTCCTCAAAAAAAAAAAAAAAAAAAAAAAAAGCTAAAACACGTTTTCGTTAATTCTGTACATTCAACTGCCTTAGGCACTGACTGTATTATGGAATATATAAGGTATTGTATCAACAAATTCACACATTGCACAACAAGTGGTAAAGGTTAAGATAACGGTATTTATTGAATGCCGAGTTTTTGAGCACTTTTCTATGGTCACCAGGTGCAAATATTGCATTTTTGAAAGTATATCTGGATGATTTATCAATAAATTGTGACTCAGACTGACGTGATAAAAAGAAATATAGGAATCAAAGAAACCTGTCATATCGACAAATACCGGTAACTATTCCGAAGAGGAGATAAAAACGCACATGGACCACAGAGAATTGAAATATATTTTTCTTTGCACTTATCTATTTAAAACATTCCTGAATACTAATGGTACCAAGGTTAGGATATCACATTAAAAAAATTCGAACCCGTTCGCTGGCAGTTTCTTTGGTCGTTGATCGGGCTAGATCACGCAGCATTCTTTCAGTTTTTTTGTGCGGTCGCCAGATGGCAGCACATCTTAGAAGTGTGGCTTTGCTTTCTTCCCCTCCTCTACACTGTACATTTGCTTCGACCATACCGACTTTCTACATGTCAACTGCCGTTAAAAGGTGAATGAATCTGTTATGTCTAAGATAAAAAAGTTTCACCCAGGACTAATTGCAAAAACCAATATGTAGGAAGGTATCTTTTTATCTTCAGGTGGTTCATACAAGTATGACCATATAAAAAATCTAGGTACATCCAATGTTGAAATTTGCATATTGAGAACTTAGTCCCTTTACTTCAGGAGGTTAAGGTAAAAGACGCACAGTTAATCATAGACGGGGCTCGAAATACTCGAATCCTTTTTTTTTTTTTTTTTTTTTTTGTATTTACCTCTATAAATAATGCCTGGGTAATTATGTTATCTAAGTTGTCACATCCCAGTGTTACGACAGTGTACATATTCTTTGTGTATAACGTGGCACTTGTACCACAGTGTCTACAATCAGGGAATTAGGCCTATATACGATATAATTCCCTGCTACAATCTAGGACACAGGAAACTGGGTGTTAGTATTAACTGGATAAATATAGCGGCCTGCACAAATCATTGGGAGCACTGAGAATATTACAGATAACTCCAGATTTACATGTATATATGCGTTAATATATAGCAACTATTAATATGGAAATGTTAACGTTTTTTTATTCACAAAACTATAGGCCTACCACATGTAAAATCATCAGCAAATCAGAAATCTTTACACATGCTTAAGAGTTCTAATTTTCTAAGTTTGACCCACTTTAGTATAGTAATGCAGTTGGGGGAACTAGTGAATTTTTACACTTGACGGTAAAAAACAGAAATTAAGAGCTCAAAAATGAACGTTATTTTCTAAACAATCTTGGCACTCTGTATTTCTTTGGGATACAGGAAAAATTGCTTAAATTTTAAAGAAATTCTTATTTTGCGCCATATAGGTCTAACATGCACTTATGGCATCAACTCGAGGATCACATAAAATATAATCAGCGCCCGATACCTGACCTTGGGCTACTTTTTTTAGACAGATAATAACACAGCTCTTGCGATGAACAATTCAATACCTAGTCAACAGAATGGTTAGAAGCAATTCAATTTCCAATCAGTGGTGTAATGATAAGGATTATGGTTGAGAAGGAAATCTTACGCCATTCTGTCAGTTTATTTGTGATATTGAACACCTGAATATTAGTCTCTAAACGACGCTTAGGCATAAATGTCCAAAAACAAATTTTGTCCATACTTGTTTTTCTATCAAGCCGAACTAGAATATAATTGTACTTGGCATTAACTCAAAAAAAAAAAAAAAAAAAAAAAAAGGTCTTGTTTTGTGCAATTTCTGTGTTAATCAATAATTCAACCATATGTTCTGAAAGACTTGATTGCGTTAGCGAAACATGGAGACGCTGCGACAAATGCCTTAGTTGTATCACCAGATTATATTATTGTGTTGGCAATATGTAGCACCTTTTGCTAGCTAAGGCAGAGCTCGACATTAACTTTTATAACCTTAATTTGATAAATTTGGCATGTCCGAATTTGAACCCAACCTGTCCAATAATACCAATGTTTTTGTTTTTTTTTTCCATTCAAACCTGCCATTGAACTTTGTAAACTATTATGTGTAATCAAGAATGCATTAGTATTGACATCGTGGAACCCATTTTTAACAGCTCAACGTGCTCATTTCCTGGCGTTTTTCCAAAGCAAAATTTATTTGATGAGATAAAGTGCACATCTCCAACCCTCTTTCTGTCACACGACCACATTTTTTGCTTTAAAACTCCATACATGGTTCGCCGTCGAAACGAAGATTGAGCGGCATTAGAAAGAGCAAACTCAGATTGAAATACAGATTTCAGGTCAAACTATCACTTACTTTTGCTTTTGACTGTGCCATATTTGGTCAGGTTTGGTCTATATTTCCCCTTAAAACACATTTTTCGACAGCACATGGAGTAAGTATTTAAGTTTGGCAAACATTTTATTATCAAAACGAGCACAATCAAAGCTCCACTTTGTTGGTTATGTGACTATTTTCTTATATGGAATACACTATGTGCACATGTGGGGTGCACATAATACTGTGGTAGCAACTGGTAAATAAAATTGCGAGGTATTTTTTCACACTGAACAAATCCACATGTTTAATCTAACTAGGAAAGTAAAACTGCAAAAATTTAAGCTATGTGTAAATAATTCTCTTGTCTATCTTCATGACGCAGTTGCTATTTATATATAAACAAGCAACGAAAATTTGTTTCAAAACTTTTGTTTTCAAATACTCGTAAAATATGACCTGTTCATGTGACAGCCAACCCTGCAACTTCCCCTGTCTAGACTGAATTCTTACCTGTCTCTGACAGGCGGACAGGTGTCAGTGTCAAGGCCTGTAAGGTATTCATTCTCAAGTGACTTTTATCTTACAAAGCTCAAAAAAATTATGCTTCCTGAACCTTTTATTCAACAGTAACTTTATTCCCAAAATTTCATTTATAATCAAAAAAAGTTTGTCCACATGATGAAAACCAAAGAGGTATTTAACTAACTGCATATCAGCCAACCATGGTCCTTTTTCTACCTCTTTGTCTAACTTCATCCAATTTTCTTAACACCTCCACTGCCCCTTTGCCATAATCTTTGGCATAGCTCTGAAGTAACAGTTCAAACAGGGCCTCTGTATTTGGATGTGTGCTCAAGAATGCTCTCTCCAGAACATACAAGTCAACTCCTTTATCTTCAGCAAGATTTTCAATATAGCCCAGACCAAAGTCAATAAGGATCAGATTGAGCTCCTCTGGTGGATTTCTTAACAGCATATTTGATGTGGTGAGGTCTCCGTGGATTATGTTCTTCTCATGCATAGTCGCCAGTGTGCTGCCAACCTTTTGCATGAGTGCCTCAAGCAAGTGAGTGTCACCATCAGGATTGTTCTGAATTGCAGTAACATAGTCTCTGACTGTAACAGAGTCCTGTATGTATTCCATGTATATGAGGTTCTTTATCTGATCAACAAAGTAAATGACCGGGGTTCTGATACCTGAAAAATATTCAAATTTATACTGGTGTGTTAAAGGTCATAAAGTGCACTCGTTTGCATCTTTTAAAAACGCACACACATGCAGAGAGAGAGAGAGAGAGAGAGAGAGAGAGAGAGAGAGAGAGAGAGAGAGAATCTTATGGTCGATTGGAGCCAGGTGGTGACAGTAAAAAAACAAAAGAGGAAAATAAACCAAACTTCACCTGCATGGTTAGATAATGTAAAAGGTAAAAGCATTTCCATAATTACCATTCGTTCTGCATCGTAGCATTGAACGAATTTCAGACTTGGTCCTCTGTGCCGTCAGGGACTTATCAAGGTCTGGGTGTCTATATGTTTTCTGAAATCTTTCCTTCACAATGCAGGGCTTTCCCAGAAAATCTATGACATAAATTTTAGCTTCTGCTCCTTGTTTTAAAAGCGTCGCTTTTGACAGATCGGACATTTCTAGATTCCAAAACGTAAAACCCCCAAAAAACGTGCGAAGCGTTTTCACAATTTTCATGACTTACTTTACGGAAGAGTTAAAATCTATAACAAGAAATGTGTGTAGGAAAACGTGTAATATACACCGTTATAGATTTTTGAAATATATCATATGTGTATAATATGTAAGAAAATCAATATTGAATATACATTGGCATCAATGTCAGCATAAAAATCTAAAATGCCTTTAAAATCTTGACATTGCATTTCGCGTCAGGGAACAATCTCCATTTTAGCATCCAAGGTGAAGGCCAAGACGAGCCGTGTGGTCAGTGGGAAACTTTGATTTTAGGTACAAAATGCATTCACAAGCGGAAGGACGCAGTGACATCATTTTGTATCATTCACCATTGTTGTATGCAACACGCAAGGTATGCGTATTTTCAAGGACATTTCTAGTAGTACATTCTAAGTAATTGTATGATTAAGATGTGTTAACAGATTGCAACATTTAGTTCAAGTTTAACATCACCCCGACCTTAGCTGAGGTCAACTTTCAAAGCCCGGCTGAAAGTTAAGGCAGAAGTGCTTAGCATATGTTTGTGAATTGCAAATATTTATTTTATATAAAGTCTTATAACTAGAATAACATTCTTATTTTTATGGAGACCAATTTGTTATAGCATGCACCAAGGTATGTATCAATGATAACCTGAAAATGCTGAAATGTTTGTTTTCTATGATAATTTCAAAATTTAATGCAAAAATAATATTCTGTTACCCACTGCCAGGTTGTTATGTATCTTCAAGAAAGGAAGATTCCATACAAGTCCTTCTGCGTGGATTTTATAGGATATGAACATTATGAGCCTTGGTTCATAAAGTTAAATGGCAAGGGAGAATTACCAGTGATAAAGCACAGAGGAAATGTGGTAAATGTCAGAGATCCGGAACAAATGATGGATTACTTGGAAAAAGAATTTGGTAAGGTATTATGCACAGCACACTTGTCCTTAATGACCGACAAAATTTTCCATTGCATATGATTAAGTACCAGTACTAGTACATTGTTCATATTAATTAGACATGTATAAATATTATTCAAAATAAAGACTTTAATATTTTTAGTGAATATATGATGTTGTGCTCTTAAGCATGTTTTATTTCTGGAATTTAGAACTGTATACAGTTTTTAGTGGCCATGTGCATTATGTTCTTTTTTTTCTGGAGTGGGGTCAGTTGAGAGAGTCAACAGGCAGAATTTGAAATCATAAACACTTTGGTGCCTCTCACAAACAGCAGACATTTATCAACAACAAACACAAATCATACTGTTCAATATAATTTTTTTTTATATTTCAGATACTCCACCAAAATTAGCCTTAGCTGACCAGAATAAGACAGAGCAGAAAAAATACCAACAGATGAGAGAAAAGATGCAAAATTTGCGCATGGACATAATATTTTTTGGTTGTATGAAGTATCCAGAACTAACAAGTGGCATGCAGTTCTCTCCAAGGGAGATGAAGTGGTTTATGGGTGAGTATATTGTATTTAGGTATGGTGTAGTAAGATATACACAGAAACAATGACCATATATGATAAGGAAGCTTGTTTTTCCCATTGAGATGACTGAAACAGATCAGGATATTTCTTTGTATGCCGAGACACTATTGAAACAGTTCTGAAGGTCAAAATTTTTAATGTTATTTGAAACAATTTATGTTGACATCCTACAGAAAATGTTTATTTGATATATTAATATAATGATTGCTGGTGGCTTGTAGCTGAATAAATTATATGCTAATGTTTCAGACCGAAATAAACTTGTAAATATTTTTTTATGTATATGATAGAACTGCAGGGCAACAAGAGTCGGGCACTTCAGAAATGTGAGAAGAAATATCCATCGTTACGGCAGCACTACATTACTAGGTAAAGAGTGACACTGATCAGCAGTAAATGAGTGACAGAATCCATATCTCACAGTTTTCATTACTTTCATTTGCTTATATTTTTCTCACACCATTTACATAAAAAACTCTGTTTATATTTTATATCAGTCAGTCAGTCATTTTATTGTCAAATTTCAGGTGCAAATTTTAAATGACACAGTTTTGTAATGACACTGGTTGACATTTTTTGTACAGCTCAGAATTTCAAAGTACATTTGTAAAGATCTGGACAACGTGTGTGTGTGTGTGTGTGCGTGTGTGCATGCATGCGTGCGTGTGTGTGTAATTGCCATTGCCCCAAATAAGGAAACAGCAAAGAAAATGTAATTTTGTGTCAAAAATTTGCCCATATTCCTTTAAGAATTTATTTTTGACATTCTAAGATAAAGATTCAGAATTGTTCACAGTTTTTTATAATCATGAGAACTTATTTATCATCTCCAGCCTTGATAAAATAAAGCACTTAGACAAAGAATGGGAGGACAAGGTGCGTGTCATGGAGAGACTGGAAGATGTGGAGGCCATTTTGGATCAAGTGGAAAGACAGCTGGTCACACAAAATGGAACGGGTAAGTGAAGGATTCCCAACAATCATCAATTCATCACATTGTTTTGGATAGATATGATTTGCATTTTAAATAGTACTCCACTGAACTGAACTGAAGATATTAGAGAGTTCCTTTGCTGGTGAAATACGATTGGGTAGAAAGTAAGTCATTGGTTTGTGTGCACCTGTGACATTAACTGTGTTCAAATCCTGTTGTCAGATCGAGTCTGCAGGATACAAGCTCTTGTATCGAGTTGGTGCAATAGAACAGTTATTTAAGGCAATGACTGGTCATTTATATGCCCTTTATACTTTTTTTATAATAGTCAAAGTGCATGAGAATAGAATCTCTTTGGTATTACACATATTATTGATGTTTTTGATTTTTTTTTTCTTTTTCAGGAGACACTTATCTGTTTGGAAAGCAGTTCACAATAGGGGACATTGATCTAATAATCCTATTGCAGCAACTGGATGTTTTAAGTCTATCAGAAAGATTCTGGGAAGGGGGCACACGCCCAAAACTGGCTGCTTATTACAACAGGGTTAAGAACCGGCCGTCCCTTAAAGTGGCAGTGGAGGTGAACTTAATGAAACACATTCTCTATCCCAAAATACGCAGGAATGCAGGCTTTCTGATTGGTTCTGTAGTTTTGTTGACTGCTGTTGCCGTGGGAGCCTGGTGGTATACCAGGTCATAATGCAGGATGTGGATTGGGTGGGCTGGTTGTCATGACAGCCATGGTGGTGACAACAACTCTGAAGTGATTGAAATATTTATATTTTTGTGATTTCTTAAAATTGATTTGATGGAGAGGGATTGAAGTCAAAATATTTTATCGTTTTTATTTTTTAGGTTGCATTTTTTTGTTTTTGTAATTTTATATGTGTGAAGTGAGAAAGGGAAATGAATTTGGAAAGTGTTCGCCTCTTTGCCAATATTTGTATTTAATTTTGTTTATTCTAACTAGTGCCTGAAATGCATTAGTTTAGTGGATTTACCACAAACATGAGATTCTGAAACTTGAAGATCTGAAGCAAAACATAATTATTGTACAATTTACCCAATAAAGGCTTTTCAGTTGTATGTATAAGATATAGCAATGCATTTTATCAACTTAATATTCCAAAATAGTATCCATTATTTATACATGTTAATATTGTGGCAGCTCCATTTTATGTATGACATATCCTCAGTGCTTTTTGATCAATTGTTAATGTCTCTGCTTTGTACTTTTACTTCAACCCAATTGTTAATAATATATGTTCTCTATGATTTAAGTGTTTTTAATCAAGAGCGAAGGGTTGTTATTTTCAGCATGAAAATGTTAGCATCTTAACAAGATTTTTTTTTTCACAAATATGCATTATTTATGGACCGGTTGGTAATGTAATTATAATAATTTCTTCCCTATTTGCTCGTTGCCCAGAATGTGAAATGTAACTGCATTCCCCTGTTGAGGTTTTGCTCCATTTTAAAAAGGTCAATTCAACTAAAATGTAAAAGCTGTGCTCACTGTTGTGTGTTTGGTTGTCAAGGGTATGAAAAAGGAGTGTTTTTAGTTCATAGAATTATTGAAGAGAAACTTTTTATGAAGTGAAAAGATGTTAGGAGTCATTTATTTCATGATTCAAGAGAATAGTAATGTATGGTTTGGATGTTGTTTTTGTTCCTTTAAGAATTATTTTCAATGGAGGTTGTTGTTTGAATGTGTCACATTAGGATACATGGGTATATCATTTAAAAGATGTAGCCTCCATAAGGAGAGGAAAGCCAACTTAGCTTTCAAACCTCTGTCTGGTTCTGTTAGGACCATGTGTTTGGAGTAACACTTGTTTTCAGATCTCTTAGTCATGGAATTTATGCTTTTATCAGCAGATATTACATCCTAGTCATGTATAATTGTATAAGGTTTGTTATAACATTGCACTGTGTGTCTGTGTGTGCAACGCACATTGGTAAAGAAGGTCACCATTATTTAGTTCCAGCTGAAGTATGATATGCTTTTGGGATTTAATACAATGTATATGCTGAAAATTCTACTGCACAAATATCAGTGAGAATACAGTTACAGGATAGACATGTCATAAATTGCATTCTCTCTACTAGTTTTGAACCATATAAAACAGCTTTGGGTATACATAATACAAGGAAATACGAAATATGTTGTAATAAGCTTTTTAGAGTAATTTTGGTCTACAAAAAGGTAATAAATTTTGTATTTAAAGACTTTGTATTCGGTTTTATAAGATATATGTAATGACAAGGAAATGCTTATATGTCAAAACTAACTATAATAAATTGTAATAAATATAGTAAAATTACACAGCTGCCAATCTGTAGGGCTAGTCAGTTGCAATTTCATCATAATAGTGATGACACAAATTAAATAAAACAAGAAATAAAAAACCTATAGACCATTGAAGTTTATTCTCTTTGGTACCTTAATTAAGAAAGTGGCAAAATGAAATTGGAAATTTCACAGCCATATTTTTGTGAAAAAAAAACTTCAGGGTGAAGGTACATAAAAAATGTTATGTGGAACTCATGTGACTTATTCAAGTATATCATGATATTACAGTCTACTTGATAAAGTACACAAGATGAAGAAAAATTATCAGATCTCACCAACAGTAAGTACTTGCACACCTGAGCATTTGAAATAAAAGTGTACAATGGTGATTATATTTGATGTAAATCGTCCTATGCCACTACTTCTGCTTCATCAATAAAACAAGTTTCATTAATATTAACCCTTATGATTGCGCTTTTTGAAAACAGCTGCTTTTGAATTTGGATTGTACAATTCTTATTGATAAAAATAGGCTTTCAAACTACATCTGCAGCCACAGCTAAACCACTACTCTTTGTACTCCAAAAAGGTTGAGTTAAATATTTCATACCAATTATACGATTAGAATATTCAAACATTGCTGGTCTAAGGGCATTTCTGCCACTAAAACATCTTTGGTATCTACACAGAAATATATTAAAGGGGAGAGCAAGCACAGTAATCAATTGCAAATTGTGTATATTCAACTATAGCTATTGCAACTGCCGTTAAGCAATTTTCTTATTAGTCATATAATGACCATAACTGAAGAAATTACGCAAAAATAATTGTACTGAATAAATATTTCAGCTTTGGATTTCTTAGTCAGACCCACATAAAGAAAATACTTAACTTTGAGACCAAAACTGGCATTAACTACCAGTTTAAAATGTGGTACTCACTTGCATAATAATACAGTGTAAAACTATGTCGAGTCAATTGTAATAGATTCAGCAAAAACAGCACCAGTTATTTGTTTACATTAAGTGTGTTCTTTCAAACAAAACAAATCTGATTCTGTTAACAACAGATCTATCAATCTGCAGGCTAGAATCTTCTTTGTACAGACCATACTATTCTTGTTTCAAAATCCCTAATACCAAACTGCGCTAGTTATAACCAGTTATAAATATTTCAGATTTTTTCAAATTCATACACACAGTTTCTAAGAATTTTCATTACTCGTTATCTTTTAGTTTCTGATTAGAAAATATATTCTTTTGGGTCTGTTACTGCAAACTGCATAGAATATCAATTAAAAATACAGCAAGAGTGACACTGTATTCTTGAATGCTGACATTGAACCTGAACCTTTATTTAATTGAAGACATTTTTGTGATAGGCAACTAAAACAAACGCTACACTAAGACCCCATTCCCAGAGATTAGATCGATCCAGCTAGATTGACCTAACTCCCTGGGGGTTCACGCTAAATAGCTGTCAGCCGAGCGGGTATGAAATTTAATTACCCCCTAACAGTTTGTAGTAAGGGGTAATTTAGTTTAAGCTGGATTATCTGATAGAAATCTAGTTAGACTCCCCACGGGGATAGATCGATCTAAAATCTATGGGAATGCGCCCTAAGTATATCTTTGCTACATATATATAGACACAAACACATAATTGCACACCTGCACTCACACATATACAAACATAATAAATAATGTGTACATCTCTGTGAAATTGCATAGATTGCACCTTTGCTGTGTTCTTTCTTTAAAAAAATCTATACAGGGTACCCTTAAAGGTGGTACATACATGTGGTAGCACCAAATATTTTTTTAGTAAAATTAAAGCAGCAGTTAGAGTCCACATTCCCTTTGTAAAACTTGTTAACAGTTGTGAATGCTACCCACTGTTTGAAGTCACCGAGTGTTAATTGTTCCTTCACCGGGTAACTTTGGTGAGTAGTCAGATAAATACCACATCTGATAACTAACAAACCAGCACCCAATGGCAATGAAAGCCCCCACCACTTTCTGAGCAATCGTATGATAGTACAGCGTAGTGATAACTAGCATCACCTCCCATAGTAAAGTCAACATAGTTAGTACCACTGTCATTCCTTTAACAATATAGTTATACTGTAGATGTCCCTCTTTCACTTTCTGCAGAGTATCACCGTCTAGCCTATAGGGGGAGGTTTCGTCGCCCTCGCTCTGAATAACAAGACGCACCTTGTCCCATGACTTGAGACACTTCACCTCCTCGGAGATCATTAGCAGGTTATGAATCAATAGGAAGGCGTGCCCTGAGATATCAAACCCTATCCATATGTGGCCGCCGCGGTAGCAGGTGCGTTTATCTGTCAGGTCCTTCATGGAACAGAATCCCGACTGGTGCTCTACGATTTCGAACACGTTCGTCCAAATGTACCACCAGAAAGTCCCCACGGCCAGCCGAGACATGTGCCTCCCGATTTTACGGCGATCTCCCCCACAGCTGATGTACATGGTGAAGAAGATAAACAGTCCCAACATGGCACAAGTCCATCCCCACCCAACACGCACGAAAAATTTGTTGAGAATGCTATTTTTATCCGCAAGGTACATCCGAGGCGGACGGAACAAGTCGCAAATCAAGGATCCTACACATACGATTATTAAGTAAGCCCCGATCTTAGCTGATGTGTCGATGAAGAGATATCTCTTACAAGTGTTATTGATCATCGCTGATATCACGGCCTGGACATTGGTTGGACCTGGCAATGACTTTTTGCCATCTTTTCTAAAGGCTCCAGCTGGCACCGACCGTCTGTTCGTAGCCATTTTGGAAGGATATCTGTTGCGTATCGATACTCTCGTTTAGCGGTCAGCTCGTCTTGCAGTTGCAATTTAAACAAGAATCAAATTGAATCTATAAAGGCATTATTTGAAATAAAATGTACAATTTTAATTTACTTCAACACCTCTCTCAGGTTTGTTTAGGGGAATCTGGAGAAACATGTGCGTCAACATTTATTGTCTTAGCCGTGAAACGAGGTCAAAGTTTTTAAAAGTTTTTTTTTTTTTATTCACGAAAATTAATACAGGACATTTTACAACACAATGAGATACAAAGACACCTCTCACACACCATTCACACACTGAAAACATTCTTACAAATAGTTATTAAAATACATGTAGAATGTTTTAAATAAAAGAATCTTAGTAGGCCTAGGCTATGACCAATGTTCCTTTCTATTCATATGAATATTTTTTCTATACTTTCCCATTTTTGTCTTAGATCAACTGCCTTTCTATTTTCTTCTGCTTTTCCAAATACTTTTTGCAGGCATCCCAGAGCGGTTTAATTTTATTCTGTCTACATAGAATGAAATAATTCTTTATATGAAGGAGTAGTAGATTAAGACCTACATGTATATGCGAGGGCTGTCGTCCAAGAATCCAAATATAAACAGGCAAGATTTTTGTTCTAATTCAACAGAGTACTGTGTACGTAGGTTCTGAATGAAACGAGTCCTAATAGCTTGGAAAAGTGTACAAACCCAGAAAATATGCAATCAAATTTCTTATGGGTCATTACAGAAAGTACATCGCTCATGTTCTAACATATTATATTTAAAAAGCATCAAATTCGTGAAATTAATTCTATGTAAAATTCTGAATTTCAATGTGAGTAGTTTATGATCATTAGTTTCTCGAAAGGGCAAAGCATGAACTTCCACTTTTCAATTGGAAAATAAATGTGCAGCTTTTCCCTCCACTTGTCATGGGTGTAAAAAGGTAATGCTTCCTTGTCAGAAATAAATTTCGGATAAAAAAAGTTTCGTTAATTTGTTTCCCGATTTTAATAATACGAGAGTTTTATTCGTTATTACTGTACATGTAAGGTTCTTTTGGTACCCTCTTATGGGCAGTTTTCCAGGCAGAAGGTAAAGTGCTGATGACGCCTTGATAGTCAAGGAAATTGCAATCTACATTATATTCATCACAAAAAACGTCCAGACTTTTTACTGAACCAGTATAATCAATCAGGTTATTAACGTAAAGAACTCCTTTCAGAAACTAAGTTTTATAAAAGATTATCTTTTTATTGATCTTAATATAATTATTTCCCCAGCCCTAGAATATCATCCGGAGATGTAGTAGAAAATTTTTGCACAGAAGCCCATATCCCTAAAATCTTTTTTCCAGAAAGTATTTAGTTTATTAATATTGCGTATATGCTGTAAGCCATTCAATGGAAGTAGCAATACGTCAATTCCCCCAATTCCGCAATATCATCCATCAAAAGAGTTTTCCACGAGGAACAATTATGTGGATTTACCAATTTCTTTAGCTATATCAATTTAAGGGATTTACAGAAGGATTTCACCTCGGGGACCTTTAACCCACCGTTTTCATAATAATTAATCATAACTTTTCTCTTAACTTTATCTATTTTACTGTTCCAGATAAAACGACAAAAAAAAAAAAAAAAAAAAAAAAAAAAAAAAAAAAAAAAAAAAAAAAAACTCGCACCAATTCTTTAAAGAAATGATCAGCAGGCATAGGAAGGACAGTTAATATTTGGATGATGGTAGGGAGTGCCAAGAATTTTAAAATAGTCACTTTACCTAGGAGTGAAATATGACGGAACGACCAATCATTTAACAATGATTTGATGGAATGCAATTTTCTCTAAAATTTTCTTCATTAATTTCATCCTTTGCTAGGTTATACCAAAACCCAGTAGTTTAAATTTCCCACTATGATTCCAAGAAATACTTTTAGAGGTTTGATACTCCTCACCACAGCCGCGCTTTGCTCCGACCCAAACAGCTTGGCTTTTTTCAAAATTTATTTTCAATAAAAGAGATTTAGCCAATAAAAAGGATGATACTTCCGCAAGTAGCCTAGACATTATCAACACGTACCTGTAATTATAAACACATGCATTCACCCCCTTCAAATAACCCTGGATCTGCCCCTGCAACTTATGTACACCAATGTACCTTCAAATGCTGTTGTGAAGAATATCGGAACAAAACAAATAAAATTGGAAATTTAAAAAATTTTCAATTTTTGGTTTGTCGAGATAATTTTACAAAAAAAGGAGGCATTTAAGTAACTTAAGGACACTTAAAATATCGATACTTGGTATGTAAACGAAAGACACATTACATTACATTACATTTTTTTTTTTTTTTTTTTTTTTTTTGAGATTATGGAAAATGCACACTGGTGAGAAAATGGATGCAAATGGAACAGGAACAGATGAATATTCAAGAAGTTTTAACTAGAACTTCACCGTCATGCCAAGTGCCAAGTGCACAGCTACCAGCTAGAGAACTTGTTTATTTGGCCTCACTGTAGCAGTCAATAAATGATCAATGGAATCAGTAAGCATATGAAATACATGTACGGCAATGTGATGATATGTTCCTTCGATACACCAGTTAGCCGACCACCCATAGCAAAATATCAGGTCTGCTAAAAATTTGCCGCAAATTTGCTGCAATATGGCTGAAAATACGCAGCCATAAATTTTTTCTTGCAAACTCGTTGCTGGAAACTTTAATGTTCTTACTTTTGCAAGCATAAGACCCCTTTTTTATCTTATCATGTCATATTTCAGTACAATGCTGCATCACACAGATTCTCTGGTTTTTACACATCTTTCCACTCTAAGCTATTCTTCAATTTAAATATTCCCTTGTTTGGTAATGGTGTAATGTTTTACTCTTACAGGTACATAATATCATTATTATTCATTTTTTAAAAATAGTTCTCTATTATTAGCAATCAATCAAATTATCGTAATTGAACAATTAGGTAATGGACAATTGACTTGAGTTCACAACGTCTGCTCATATAGAAATTTCCATTAAAGAATGACATCTAATCGTTCTTGTTGCTATCTTTTACATTCCGGTACTCTGACTCTTTAATTTCCATCTGTGGCTCATTGACATGTAAGATTCAAAGTCGCTGACTGTAAATATCATTTCATTTAATCAAGAAAATAATATTAATAAATGTTCATCACGATAATGATGTAGTCAATTAAAACTTTTTTGTCTGTTTATTACCCTAAAAAGCCTATACCTGAAAGTAAAGACATATGACATGAGTCAATTGTGATCAACTCTGTTTTAAAAGTATGTAAACATGTTCCTTAAATTCGTGTTTTGGCGCACGTTGAAACACACGTACCTTCATAATGGCATTATAAATGTTTCATGCCGAATTACTTTCCTGAATAACAACGGATTCTTTTCTAACTGACTAGCTAGACTGTTCAATATCCAGATAAACTGGACACCGAAAGAAAGCGAAACGATGCGGAAAGAGCAGTGAATTTTTGCGTGATTCTCAATTCATCACAGATCAAAAAGGAAAGGGAACTTAGCCTGCAACAGAACAAAACAAGATATTAAAAAAATCAAACAGTAATTCTACCGTGGTTGGTAGCACCATGTTTCAGCCCATAATGTTTGTCTGCTAGTAAGTTAACGTACTAGCTTCTTCCCAAAGGACCAGTCTTAATCGGACCGCAAACGCCAATATGACGTCCGTTATCCGTGATGTCTGCCTCGCGTGATGTGCACATATGGTGTAGCGCTCCTCCTATAGATCGGTTTCTCACATTATGTTAGTTTCAAAACCAATATAATTTAGCTGATATAGATGAAGAGAATCGTTACAAAGCTGGTGAGTAAAGAGGAGGAAGGGAATTTTTTCTGAAACGTGTCGTTTGTTACATATCAACACAATTATAATCGTTTTTTATTTTTCTTTTGTAAATGATACTTTTGTTTATTTATCATTATTATTATTATCATTTTTTGGTTTTTATTTAAATAAACTCTCTCTCTCTCTCTCTCTCTTTTTTCATACAATGGTAAAAGTACAGATTTTTATCCTCACTAGTAAATCAACACATACACTGTATATATATTTTTGGGGCGAGGCGGTATTACTCCCCTGACTAATCAACGAGATAGGCCCGTTGTTGCGTGTTTGACAATAACGTGGACTAATCCATTAATGAATTCTGTTATGGTACATTTATTATTTTATAAACAAACTAATGGAACTGCATTTCACCATTTCTACATGTAGCAATGCCACATCTTACATTTCTGATAGTCTTGTTACCTACTAAAACCGCATCAAGGACATCTTCATGATCAGTTCCTTCCGAAGGGAAAAGACGATTAATTGCAATCAAAGCCCTGCTTAAAGCCCTTTGGAAACTCAAGTAGATCTAACAAGCGTTTGACAGGAGAACATTAGCATGAAGTTGCAATAGAGCGACTACGCGTGGATGGCTCATCCAGATATCACCAAACACCTTCAAGAAATATAAAAAATGTATGCCTCTAGGAAAGGATAGCACATTTTTCAACAAGCTTAGTACACATTTCAGTGTGTCCCAAAGTTGAATTTTCTGTGTTTACCTGGCAACTTGAACCTTCCTTGACAGCCATCCTAAAACAAAGTGTTCCCCAAGACTTAATAAGGAATTTCTTGGAGGAAAGAATAAATAAATAAAATAGTGCGCTTTTTGGTATACATGACGATGTACAAGAAACTTTATCTTCAGTTTCAATATCAATGTCAGTTCAGTCGATATCTGTGTATAAGGTATAAAAGAAGAAGGACAACCAAGCTGGGGGATAATTTGAAGAAGGAACGACATGCTTTTTGTTTTACTTTTAATTGCAGTATGTTAGGGGATATGACTCAGGCTATTCAAAGAATCGGAGAAAGCTTTGCACTACACTGCCCATGAGTAGAGAAAGTACCCGCAGTACCAAGATGGCTGGATCGAAGGTAATGAATTGAAGAAACAATTTGTAGTGTAAAAGGGCAAAGTGACGTTTTTCTCACTCAGGCCCCATTCCCATAAACACCATCGGTCTACCCAGATCGATCCAACTCTGCGGGAATCTGAAGTGAGTGATGAGCCTCTTCCTCCTGCGTTTCGAAGACTACAGAAAAGCTTTTGATCATACAAGTAAGTAGGAAACAAGAAGAGGCATGTCATTCAGTTAAGCTGATTGCACTCAGCGAGAGTCCCCACAGAGCTGGAGCGATCTACGTAGACCGATAGCGTCTATAGAAATGTGGTCTACAACCCCAGATATATTTATCTGGCACTCAACTCACATTAATCGGTTATATTTTTTTTTCTCGAGAACTCATCGAGGCGAAAATTGTCAATTTCCTAAATGACACCA